TCTCAGTCGGACATTGGCCGTGTCTCAGCAGTAGGCTTAGCCAAGGATCGGGGGGGGGCGTTACCCCCTGTAAAAATACTAGGCATTATTGTATCACTATATTATTTTTCAGCTTTTATATATCATAAACTCGTTTTGTATCATTTAATAAAAATAAATAAAACTTCTATAAACACTATTACATTTTATTTGATTTGTTTTAATGGACATTCTAATTTATTGACCCCCCGAGAGTATAACAGTCAATCCTAGGGTCAATGGCTCACATCATGTTGCTGCAAAATTACCCTTCACAGTTTGGGCCTTGGTGCGCTATAAGCGTAAAGGTCAAATCCGACTATTCTATCTGAGTAGCCAAAAAGTTGGCGACAGGTGTTACTGACCAAACTGTCTTTCCTTTAATCGTATTAGTTTTAAATGATTGCCGAGATCCATTGCGTAGCTTTACGCGACTATCTCCAAAACATACAAAATTGTCAGCAGATTAAAAAGCCTTTAATATAATTTTTTTTACAATTCAAGAACTACAAATCTTGTATGTTATAGTGCAAAAGTTTTTCATGTTAATTAAGAAATATAACTCATTTTATCGCCTTCCCTGCTTTCTTTATTTTATGACAAATACAACAAAGAAAGCGAGATTTTGACTTCGGATAAACTGGTTTAACTGGAGTATTATTTATATATCTAATTACAATGGGATAGTTAGCATAATATCTTCTGTTTGAAACTTTTCTGGCCGATTTATCTTCTTTAGATTATAACTCTTCATTTTAACACTTATATCTAGACATAACACATGTATCCTTTACATTCATAGTTTTGGAAGACATCGGTATTCAAAACGATATTTCCTTTCTAACCGTTAATTTGTATAATTGAAGAATATTTTCGTAAAATTTTTGATTTCAGTTAAACAAAATCAGAATTTCGTTTGTTTGAAACAAAAAGCCACATTGGGCTATCTGCTGTGACCATCGCGGGGAATTAAACCTCGGTTTTTAGCGTTGTAAGTCCGTAAACTTACCGTTGACTTGCCAGGGGACATAAATTGAGACTCGAGAAACGACAACTTTTACCTTTTGAGGAATGATAACAATGTTGTTTAACCAATAATTTTAAAGAATCTGTGCATAATCCTTTATAGTTTGTTTGTTTGTAATTAAGCACAAAGATACACAATGGGCTATCTGTGCTCTGCCCACCACGGGTATCGAAACCCGGATTCTAGCGTTGTAAGTCCGCAGACATACCGCTGTGCCACTGGAAGGGAGCTCCTTTATAATACAACCAACTTTAGATATTTTAAACAACATCTAAATAAGTGAAAGGTTTCTGAAAAACAGTTTAATAGACGGTAGTTTTTGTGTGTGTCCTATTATCTCTAAGTAATCATTTAATTATGTTAACAAAGTGACGTCTTATCGCAGACGCAAGTTGTGACCCCAAGGGCAACGTGTTTTGCACTTGTGTTTGGTCCACCACGAAGTCCCAATCATTACACAGGATATTTTAAACCAGAGGTTGAAGGGTTTTTGTTACGGACTTTTTTTTTCTGAGGAAGGATATTCGTATTAAAAGATTGTTAAACGAAGTAGAACAAAGGAAACAATGTTACAAAGAAGAGATCCTTCAACATTCTCCATGGAAACAGAAAATAACTGAGCAAACAGCATCTATTCCGAAACCACACAACAAGTCAATACAGAGCAAAGTCCTCAGCCGCAAAATGAAGGTTATCATTACGAAAGAGAATCATCTAACCATAAAACCCACTGTGATAAAGCTGGGCATATCTCCTGGTAATTATACGACTTATAAACCAAAAGTTCACAACTCCACCCCCCACACACACACCCTGTTAAATTAGGGACGGCTAGCGCAGATAGCCTTCGCGTAGCTTTGTGTGAAATACATAACAAACCAAACCCCCTTAGAATTACTTTCCTCCATTGTCGATCTTGTTCATGCTGATGGCCATGATTTCGCATCGTTTCCCAGCACCGCAATATTCACTGTTACGAAGGTCAAAAATGCCAAGTTTATATCACACAGTTTGACATATTTCCCACAGAGTCTCTACTGTACAGAGTAGTTGTCTTCTGATAACACAGTTAAGCAGACCAAATACACACACGTCCAGTGGAGTTACATAGAGGACTTGATAAATTTCTTCAAACATCTTTCTTATGAAAACAGGCATTGATCATCCGGTTAAAATAATTAACTATATTCGGCTCATACGTGTAAAAGGAATCTCTTTTGTCTTTCTCTAATTAAAAAAATTTAGTTTGTTTTGTTTTGAATTTCGACAGCTATTTACGCTAGCCATCCCTAGCTTAACAGTGATAGACTAGAGGGACGGCAGCTAGTCAACACCACCCACCGCCAACTCTTGGACTACTGTTTACTACCAAATAGTGAGTTTTACAGTCTCATTATAAGGCATGGCGAAGTGGTTAGGGAGCTCGACTCGCAATCTGAGGGTCGCGGGTTCGAATCCCCGTCCCACTAAACATGTTCGCCCTTTCAGTCGTGGAGGCATTATAGTGTGACGGTCAATCTCACTCTTTATTGGTAAAAAGTAGTCCAATAGTTAGCGGTGGGTGGCGATGACTAGTTGCCTTCCCTTTAGTCGTTCACATTTTCAGTATATCTTTAGATCCGTTGAAAATAAGTATATTCGGCATTTTCAGTTTAACTTTAGATCCGTTGAAAATAACTATATTCGGCATTTTCAGTTTATCTTTAGATCCGTTGAGAATAACTATATTCAGCATTTTCAGTTTATCTTTAGATCCATTGAAAATAACTATATTCGGCATTTTCAGTGGATCTAAAGATAAACTGAAAATGCCGAATATAGTTATTTTCACCGGATCTAAAGTTAAACTGAAAATGCCGAATATAGTTATTTTCACTTGATCTAAAGTTAAACTGAAAATGCCGAATATAGTTATTTTTAACGGATATAAACTGAAAGTTATGTATTCCAAGCTGGTTGGTTTTACACAAAAATAATTAATAAAACTGAAGAAAATTATAAAGGAAACCGCTTTTCACTTTTTTTAAAACCAAGGGAACATTTCATTTGTTATGTGTCATTCATTTTGAAAATTGTTTTTTAAGATTATCCTCTTATTCCGGTACATGTTTTCCGGTATAACTTATAAGTACTTGGTTTATAATTACTTCCAAGTCCATGATTTACACACCTCGTTTGTCACCACGTTTTACATTTAGCAGACACGTTATTCTTCGCTTTATGGGGTCCAAATGAACGACTCGCCCACTAAGATAGTCTTCGAAATACGGAACAAAGCAGTATTACTAATTATATGAGTGATTAAGCAGCTCTTATATCAAAATCAAATGAAGGTTATACAGGCTGTAAACGCCCCCCTGCCTGTTGCCTACAAAGTATGTGTTTTATTCAACAAGTTCCTGGTTTAAGATTAATTATCACGAGGGATAGGGCTGAAATTTCTCTGAATAAAACGTTCGAACTACAGGCTCCCCTTGGAGTCGTTTAATCTCGAGTTAATAAGTAGGTAGAAGGTTATAATTAAAACCCTCTAAACACAAGGGTATGTGTTTGCGTCATATGCTCTAAATAAAAGCGAAGCTCAGATACGTTTATAAATAAAAGGAGCGACAACATGAATTATATGAATGTTCGTTGAATATAAACAGATAATATATTTGATTATTGGTGTCAGAAGTGGTCTCACAAGAGAGGTAACACATTAAATCAAGTAGAAAAAAAGAATATATAATTTTATTGTTGTCAAAATTTTTACACCAACATGTGTTGTTAGTTTACGTTTAATAAAATCTCTGAAGAAAGTGCTGTGAGGTAAGTAGCTGTGATAGCGGTAAGTTTTAGGGAGATACGACGCTCAAATCCGGGTTTCGATCCCCTGCCATGTACACAGCATATATCCTAATGTGGTTTTGCTTTGAAATAAACAATCATTTTTTGTTTCTATTATGATGTTGTCAAATTATAAAATAAACAATCTTTTTTGTTTCTATTATGATGTTATCAAATTATAAAATAAACAATCTTTTTTTTTGTTTCTATTATGATGTTGCCAAATTATAAAATAAACAATCTTTTTTTGTTTCTATTATGATGTTGCCAAATTATAAAATAAACAATCTTTTTTTGTGTCTATTATGATGTTGTGAAATTATGAAAGAT